GAGAACACGGAAGAAAGACGCGATTCTTTTTTTCTTTTCTTTTCTTTTTTCTTTCTTTTTTTTTTTTTTTTTGCAACGATTTTAAAAATGCGTTACGTGTGTGAAGAAAGGTGGTATACACGTGGCATGCAAACGGTGAACGGGGCTTCTGGTATACGATTGTCGAGCGTGTCGAACAAGCTTTAGGGGACACTCGTCGAACGATACAACGTTGATATTGCACTATTACTGCTTCCAAATATATCCATTTTAATACTTTTTTTTTTTTTTTTTTAAGGAATTGGAAACTTTCGTCGACGATTTATCGCTCGACAAGGTCCCAATATCTACCGGGTTACAATCGAGTTCGGGTTTCTTTTTGTCGCAGTGTTATTCACTGAAAGCTAAACGCCACTAAATCAAGACCAAAAAAAGCCTACTGCATGCATTCCTTCGAGATCTATGCTCTTTCACGTGACCTGATCAAATTAATTTCTACAACGGAGAATAGATATATGCATATATATACTATATATGCTCGATTCGAAATTTAATCGATTTTCGGTTGATTTCCTTCGGAAAATAATAATAATAATAATAATAATAATAATAATAATAATAATAATAATAATAATAATAGGAATAATAATAATAGTAATAATAATAATAGTAATAATAATAATAGTAATAATAATAATAGTAATAATAATAATAGTAATAATAATAATAGTAATAATAATAATAATAGTAATAATAATAGTAATAATAATAATAGTAATAATAAAAATAGTAATAATAGTAATAATAATAATAACAATAATAATAAAAATAATAATAACAATAAAAATAAAAATAAAAATAAAAATAAAAATAATAATAATAATAATAATAATAATAATAATAACAATAATAAAAAAGAATTTTAAGGAACTTTAAACAAGGAAGGAAACAGAGTAAATATAATTTTTCCGCGTTCGTGATTAAGAAATCACGATCTTTCTTTCCTATTTTAATAAGGTTTGATTTGAATAACGAATAGAAGAAATTAGGGAAAAATTTGAAATAAAAATTATTCAATCGGAGGTGTGTTCTGCTTAAGAAAGGTAAATGAAACGAAAGGACAAAGAGACATAAAGTTCCAATGACGAGATTGGATCAAGAGAAACGAAAGAGGGATAAAAGAAGAAAGATAAAAAGTTTAGGAGAAGGAACGAGCGATGCATGCCACGTAATCGAATCTCGAAAAATGGACAGTGAGAATTCTTCGTGTTCTTTTGATAAAGTAGAAAAAGTTCTTCTTTATTGCCTGGCTGGAAAACATATTAAATCGTCTTGGCATTCTTTCGAAATGAACATGTTCTTTTCTTCAAATACCGTTTTCTCGAATTTCTTGACGATAAAAAAATCATCCACGGATAAAGATTCCTTGCTTTTGCAAAGAATTTATTAATTATTAATAACTTGTGATCCGTTGAAATTTCGAATTTTAAAAACTTTCTAAAAACTCGAAGATATCCCAAATAATTTTTATTCAATTTTTATTCTTTCTGAAATCTTCTTATCGTCAAGTAATAATTTCCAAAATTTCTCGCAAAACTATCCATCTAATTCCATCTTCTTTCGAAACACTTGAAATTCGCACGCATCGAGTTCAAATTTCCACTCTTTGCCAAGGCTACCAATTACTTCTTACGTCAAGAACTCGATTCGTTTAATTCCCTTTTACAACATTTTTTCTTATTGTGTCGCTTCTCTCTTCATCCATCTTCCTCTCTCTCTCCCTCTCTCTCTCCGTTGCGTGCTCTCTCTATTGTCACTTCTCATCTTTCCACCCATTTCCAGCCATCTTCTTCCCTCTTTCTAGCTTTCGTTTTCGAGCTTCATCGATTCTTCCCCCATTTTAACATTTTTAACTGCGAATCGACAACGAATTCGGAAACGTGAAGTGGTGCACGCTTCTCGACAGAGAAAAAACGGGGAGAATACAGGAGAATACAGTGTCAAAAGAGGAAACGATGCACCACTTCGCAATTCCATTCTTACGCTCTCGTTCGATTCAAGCTGTTTGAAAAATCTGTCATCTCGACAGTAATACTCGATCTCGTTCCTTATAGGGAACGACATCTAGGAGTCACGAACGCGGGCCAACGTGCACAGAATGATGAAAGAGAATTGGTCGATTCATCTGGTGGATTATACACTTGAGAATTTATCCGCAATTGATGATTGCGTTGCTTCGTTTCTACGAATGGTTTAATAAATATTCTTGTTCCTACTAAGTCCTATTATCCCTTAATTCTATTGATCAAATTTTAAGAATACTATTATTTATTTCTGAGAAAATTCTGTAATATTATTTAAATATCTTTATTTTTGAACAGTTATTAATTTTTGATTATAATTCCTGAATTTTTTTCAAAATTGTCTCAAGTTGAATATTATGTATATATATATATATATATTTAAAGTTTAATTTATATCTTGCTTAAATTAAAAAACTTCTGGCTCTTTTTTCCCTTTTTCGTTGGCACACTGTCATCATAATCTTCTCTTGTTATAACGTATAACAACGTAGAAAGATTAATCGATACTTCGTTAAAACACTTAGGAACTCATTAAGGCCATCCAGATCGCCGACGAATTCTTTTTCCCTTAAACTCGATACAAACTTCCTCGGCGTACGTACCTCGGCACGTTGGCGGTCATAATCACACCCGATTCAAGGAACGTGTAACATTTATTATTATTAAAACAAGTGATTTCTCTTTTAAAAAAAAGACACGTGTGGAATGTCCATGTACACTATAAAAGGTAACTCTCTTACGATCACTAGAAATAATACCCTGCATCGAATCATTTCTGAGTAAAACCATTTAAAAACGTAATACATAATAATACAAATACGTCCAAAGTACAAACGTTAATGCTAAAACGAGAAACGTGGAATGTCGTAAAAATACTTTCCAATACCCTGTAAGTTCCGTGACTAAAGCTAACCTTACAATTCTAATCGAATCCGCGAAGGCGATCGCGTGGAAACGTCAGCGAGAGCAAAAATGTGACATCAAGGACGTCGTTTCTCGATCGTTCCAACATCGATCGTTCGATGCCTTCTTTACCGATCGTTGGTTTAAATGGAACCATTCAACTTGTATCTCGTTCCCGCTGAAGTTTCTTACGCGATGGAAAATCGTTCTTCAGCGAACGAGGAATGATTATGGAAGGGCAGAGGCTCGCTCTGTCTCGGGTCGACCTACCACTGACCGATAGACGCTACCCACGTGGCCTTTTTTTTTCTCTTTCTATTATTTTAATTCACGATTTTTAATATATCTTATCTCGTACTGAATACATTGATTTCGATTGATGCATATGAAATTTTGTTTTTCTTTTTTTTCTTTTTTAAATTCGCTGAGTTATATCAGAATATATAAACAGACTTTGGAATAATTTCTCTTAAAGTAAATTTATATGGATATTTAAATTATCAGTTTCTTTGATCTTAGAACGTCGTTGCACATTTTCTTCAATATAAACAATCTCTTCGAAATATTTATTTAAACGATAACGTAATATATCTTTTGATAATACATAAAAAATTAATTCTAACTAATTAATTTCATATGCATCAAGCTAATAAGCAATATCAACGTAGAAAATTTTCGAAAAAACATTCAAAAAAAAAAAAAAAAAATATCTCTGACAGAGCAGTTTAAATTTCAGACGATCATGTTCACCGGGAGAACAGAATTTCTTTCTTTTTTTCAACGATTTCCGCTTCTTTTTTCCGCCTCTATCTCGGCGAGAAACCACGAATTGCTCCTTTTCACGATATAGCAAACACTTTCGTGCTTGCTTGTGTGTATACATATACATATGTACGTGTATGTGTAAGAGAGAAAGACGTGGGATCAGGGTCTGGTGTGTGAGCACGAGCTCTCCCTCGTACACAAGGGGTCAAGGGAAGACGAGTGAGTAGAAGAGTTTGAGAGAAAAAAAAAAAAAAAAAAAAAAAAAAAAAAAAAAAAAAAAAAGAAAAAAAAAGAAAAAAAAAAGAAGAAGAAAAAATACAATATATATATGAGAATAAATACTTCAACAAGTAGAATAAGACAGTAGTTCGCGAGCTGGTTGAACGACGAGCAATTAGTTGTAGGTAAATAAAGTCTGTACACCCACCTTGGTTCTGCTGGAATCATCGAGAACCCTAAAAAAAAAAAGAGGGTCGGGCAGAGCGTGGGGGAGGGGAGAACGGAGCCTTTTTCGCGAGGACCATCTAAGGGTCAGTGCTAGACCTGTGGTAACCCGTGAAAACGACACGGACAAAAGCAAGTTTAACATTTTTCACAAGTGTGTGGAAAATCGTGTCTTCGAGTCGAGTCGAGTCGAGCAATATTTAAATTTCTTTTCAAGAAATTTCTCCTCAACTGTGTGAAATTTTCTCCACCTCTCTTTCCTCTCTTCCATTCTACAGACTCGACTCTACGACACGCAAAGTACCATTTTCTCTAAGAGACAACGCTCGCTGGCTACGAGTCAGCGAAGTTGATGGGAGAAAAATAGCGATCGAAAAAAAAAAAAAAAGAAAATAAGAGGAAAAAAAAAGTAGTAGCAGCAGTATAAGAGCAATCGTGAATCGTGGAGATACAGATACTGTCCCTCCCTCGGGAGGGACCCGAGTCTCTCCCTAGTGGCTGTCTTTTCTTTCGGTTTTTTTTTTTTTATGTTGGCTTGGTCGTGGTGTGTTGGCGGCTGTTGGGAAGAAACAAACGAAAATGTGAAACTTTTCTTTTCTTTTCTTTTCTTTTTTTGGCTTTTCACTGTCTGTCGCGATTACTCCGAGCACACGGTTGTCGGCTCGGCCGATGAGTTTCGTTGATCGTCTCTCTCATTCTCTCGGCCGTCATCACTGTCGCCGCCTTTTTCTTGGCATCGCCTTCAGGAGAACCCGTGGCAATTCTCACGGATCTCGAAGTAGAGATTCAGCAGTGCCGATTCCGGCACGTCGTGGAAGCACCTACCCTCTGGCCATTGTACGCATACTGAAACACAAAGCAAACACACGAGGGTCAAGTTTTCGCCATTTATCGCAGCCTCGGGATGTTTCTAAATGGAGGGGATATATATCCTCTTTGTTCCCGATTTTATGGAGAATTTTGAGAAACATCCCTTTTAAAATATTTTTTCGATGTAATCGATGTCGTTACACGCGATGTAAGTATTGATAATCTCTATTGCAATAACATGTAACAGAATTGGAACGAAATAAGCAAGAGAGGATTGATTTTTAAAAAGTGTTCGCAGATCATAATAATTAAGTGACGATTGAAAATTTCTATCAAAGTGAAGCTGAAGTGAACATCTTGTAATATTTCTATAATTCTCACTATTATTTGAATGGAACAATTATCATCACACGTTATATCTTAATTATAGCAATTATTAGTTCCCTTTTTTAGATCGGTAATAAGAGATCGCGATTGAATCAGAAATGGAATTGGAGTGAAATGAAACGTTGAAATTCAGTGGCACGTAAGTTTGGCGGGTCAGATATCGGAGAGATTGAATTTGTTCGGAGAAATCTTCTCGCGCAAAATCTCTGCTGGATCTCGCGTCGAAAACGGGACAAGATACAAAGAGGAACGTTCGTTCCCGTTGAGATTCTGATCGATTGCCCCCTATTTCAACGAAACTGGGAAAGGATGCCGGTAAGCGGCGACCAAGTGCGTTTTCTCACGAAAGTAAATCCTTCTTCGGGAATCGTTCGAGGGGGAGAAGAATCGTCCCACGCTATAAATTATCCGAGTGTCGATATCGGCGCGAAGTATTTCGATGGATTGCTCTGCTGGTCGACACATTCGTCTTCTTTATCGAAGAATTTGTTGTTATTTTCTTCCTCTTCTTCCTCTTTCAAGAAAAGAAACATCACTTTCGAAAGATTCGATCAAATTTGATTAATTTGAGATGTTTACTTTATACAAATTTTTATTTTTTCACAATTCCAAATAATATGTTGCGATAACATTAAATTTGATGATAAGGTTTATTACTTTGTCCCAAGGTCGTGCAGGATTATTTAGAAAATTAATAATCGAGGTATATCGGTATAGCTAATTTAATTAAACCGTATGCGCTCGGCGAATTTATTAATCGACCTAAATTTCCAATCTAATTCCAATATTATATACGAATGAAAAAATCGGTAGAGAGATCAAGTACAGAGATCCAATTAATTTCACCATCAAAATTGGAAACATCAATTCCTGATAATACAATATAATAATTTGAAACAATTCGGTCCAACAAATATCATGTATAATACGAATAAACAATAATCGAATTAATTGTCGCCTTTTTCCAGATGAAAGGTATATTATCCAAATGTGAAATTAGTATATAACTGAAAACCTCATTCGTGTCAAATTCATATAAATTTCTTTAAACGTTCTTTAAAATTTTAAAGAACGTTACCAATTGCCAATTTTTTTTTTATTATTTTTCGAAAATATTATTCTTAAGCAAGATATTAACAACTAATTTAAAAGTACAAAAAAATTCGTTTCGTATTTTTCTAACGTAACAACTGCTATTTCTTTCTTCAAATTTACTTATTACGAAAGAAAATGACATGTACAAAGAATATACACAAAATTTGTATCACTGTGTACACGTGTTAGTTTTTTTTTCTCTTTTTTGAAAATGGAAACGAGCATGGATTTATCGTTGCTTTGGAACGGAAGGGATAAATTACGCGAAACACCGTAACCAATTTCGATCGGCATTTGTAATTCGGATTGCATCGGGCCTTCAACAGGCCGATAATGGAATTTCAAATAAAAATGAATGGCCTCCCTTCGCATTGCTTACATGGGGGAGGAGGGAGGGAGGGTAACGTTTATTCGCGGATTTTTCATCCGACCCAGTAAAAATCCATCAAAAATCCCGATATGGATTCGAATGGCGTAAAAATTGGCGGCGAATTGTTTCCGATTTTAATTCGCGCGTGGGGGAATATTTTGCGCGGAAAAAGGATCGAAATTTGACAATTTGACAAGCGAGCGAATTTTTTTTTTTCTACGAAAAAAAATCCCCCTAATCCTAAATTAATAAATTAATAAAGTACAGATTATTTATAATTTCTGTACACACGAATATTTACTACCTTCATTCTCCGGAAAATGATTTTCAATTTTCCAAAAAGCAAATCATCACAGAACAAACCAAAGTCTATTCCAAAGGCTATTCCAAAATCGGTTCTTCTTCTGTCGATTGAAATCACACGAGAGGGAGAATACTTTATCGATAAGCTTATTAAAGAACGATAATTCAATGAGATGTTACTTAACAAGTCGCGATTTCGAACGCAAGATGATCATTTTCATTGACGAGCTAACTGTCTCTCGGGAAGAATGAATCGTGGAATCGCGTGCAAGATGGCTGTATCTTTAGAGGGAACGAAACGGAAGGTGGCGAATTATTCGTCCTTAACCTGTGTCTAAAATGAAGGGGGAGGGAGAGGGGGAGGGGGTTAAGTTTCAACCACGGATGACCTACGAACCGACACGCTATCCAAACCAGAGTCGCGCAAAGAATCATCTGCATATCTTCGTCTAATTTAAATCTCAATTCCTCTCCTGCTCGATAAACAACTGTTATGTCGTGTTTTACCTGTTACGTGGCTCGCACGCGACTAATAGACACCGAAGGTCATCATCTTTGACGTACTGGATGGATCACGTAACACCCACCCCTCAATTATCTTTAGCTATTAGCGGATCGAATCAAAATTTTCCTTATCGTGACGTTTCATTTCATCTATCCTATTTTCTTTTTGATAATAAAATTTCAAGGTTATATTGTTTTCGTGAAATGCAATTCCTCGTCATGAAAGAAATAAAAATTTCCTTTCAACAGTGTATAATTTTTAGTTCTCTTATTTGATTCTCTAAACGAATTTTTCCTCGTGATACTAGGTATAATTAAAAATTAATAAAGGAAAGGTTTTTATTCGAAATTTAATTTCAAATCCCATCCAAATTTTATTCAAATTTCGTTTAAAAGTAGTAAAAGAGATTACAAAAAGTATTGTTCAAATTATAAAAGGCAAGTATAAAATTTCTAGAGATATATATAAATTAGATTGGAGAAAATTATACCATTTAATTCTATCCTTGTCGAACAATCCACTATAAGATAAGATACGTAGGAGAGAGTCTCTGATGAACATAATTTGAAAAGGTAATACAGTTTGATTATATTTCCTTTTTTTTTTTTTCTTTTATCATACTCGACTAAATGCAAATCTTTGGAATACAAATTCCAAGTGTCTTCGTTCCTATTTTGTATTCTCTGTAGGGTCGTAAGTATTCAATGTTAAACTCTCTCGTAGCCGGATCGAGACCGATACTCTTGGCACAGTTTGCTTCCGAGCACGATTCCCGCGCTCGGTTTCGTTTCATCGCTTCTAAGAAAGCAACGTTTCTCTTTAAAGCAAGCTCGATTCGAAAAAGGAACATTCGTAGTCGAAATAAGAATAATACTTCGCCCCTATTGAGAAGAATATTTTCAATCGAGAAGAATATTTTGCGGCTCTTTTATGATCAACGAAATGCATGCTTCTCTATGAGATTCCTTTCCAATCTTCCTAATCTATTATTTTCTATATATAATAATAATAAAACGACCGTATTTATGGAAAGTATTGTGAATAACGAGGCACTTTTCTTTTAAAAAAAATTATTATTTGGTAGCATCCTTTTTTTATTGTTTTATCCAATAAATTTTCAAATAAATCGTTAATTTCTTCGAAATCGAAATGAGAAAATTACGAAATCGAACATCACGATTAATTAATTAATTAAACACATCGAATATTTTAACTCGAACAAGACAATACGTTCTGTTTCCTCTCATAATTTCAATTCTATTCTATATATTATTCCTGCACCTGCATATTCGAATTACTACAATATTTACTTAACTACGTTAAATTTCTGTACTGGCAACCAACAGAGAAAGACAGAGAGAGAGAAAAAAGAAATATCAAAATTTCTCTTCTCGAACAGACTCGATTACTTTCTCGATCATATTCAAAGATACCAGCATCAATGATTAAAATAAAAATATTTCCGTTTCGTTCGAAATTCTAATTTCCATCTCATACGATATTTCACCTCGTATCCTCACTGCACGTGCACCATTTCGATCTCGATCCTCGGGAGCGAGAAGCAGCGAGAGCATCACCGTCTCGTTTCCTCTGAAGCGACACGGAACAGCCCGTTTCCTTTAAAATTACACGAGGAACAGAGGCCGTGCAAACATATTACGGGAACAACGCAGTACATACAAACGGGAAAGTGGCGTTACGTGGTGTGTTTTCGCGAGGGTACGTGCACCCACCCGGTTCCGTTTCATCGTAAATTTCTCTTGGCCGGCAGGAA